GAATTCGCTAGAGTTAAAAGTTTCAATGTTTTTCCGGCATCGGTTATAGATGTTTCGCTGTTCATATCGCATTTATATCCTCTACTTACAAATCATCCTCAGTTATTCAATCTAGTTATTGTGCCCTTAAATGGGTTCATGATATTGCAGGTATACGTACATAACCCCATGGAAAACAAATTTCTTAAAAATTTGGTGGAGGGTGCCAAAAGAGAGCATGCCAAACCAGTTTCCAAAAAGGCTCCTGTTACCAGTGAGGCCCTAGAGGAGTGTTGTACAATTAGTATCAGGGTTGTGACACACTCACTGTGCGTAGAGGCATCTCTATGGCATTGCTATTGTTCGCTGGGTTTCTTAGGTACAACGAGATTGCAGACCTCAAAATTCAAGATGTGGTCATTTGCACACTCATTTGCAACTAACAATAAGAAAAAGCAAAACAGACCAATACAGGAAAGGCATTGAACTGGTCATTCATAGGTCGAACAAAATTACCTGCCCAGTACTTAATCTTGAAAAGTACATGCGAGTTGCTTCCATCAGTTTAGATCACAGTGCAAATTTTTTATTCAGGCCGGTAACCCATACCAAAGCAGGGTTAGTACAAGCTAATCAACCGAAACAAACCCCTTAGTCAAACTAGAGCACAGGAATCTATCATCGGTAGACTGCAGGAGTTCATGGGAGACGCCAACATTTCCTCGCACTCATTCAGATCAGGGGGGGCTACCAAAGCAGCCAATGCCCAAGTGTCCGACCGCTGTTGGAAACGACATGGCAGATGGAAGTCTGATACAGCCAAGGACGGTTACGTACAAGATTCACTCAACAATCGCCTACAGGTTTCCAAGGCACTAGGTTTGAATTTCCATGCTCTGACCCTTTCTAACTTTATCCAAGTCTAGTCAGGTGCAGCAGCCAGCAACCTTATTAGAAACGTTGAAATTGTTGTGTTATTTCTTTGGGTTGGGGAAATAGGGTAAACATGTTATTATCTGCAGTTCGCAGAATAGCAGAAAATTGATGTTTCCACGGTTCATCAAACATGTGACTGTCATGTTCATTGGCAGGGCGCCAAAGTGGTCACATGATTTGGGCAGCTCATTCTAGTCTGGCACTGCATCAACACACACAAAATTTTTTACAAGCAGTATATTTCACCAGCAAAATTTACCAAAGGTTTAGGTTCTTGGGAATGCTTACATAAGTCGTAAACAGATTATTTAGAGTTTAATGTTGTTAGCTAATGCTTGTACGTTGGTAACACCCTCGAGATTGTTATTTAGAGCCTGAATCTGCATTCGGGAGGGTCCAGGTTTCCCCACAGGGGTTTTTCCTGGCGGGCAGCAGGCTCACTTAGTACTAGTATTCGTAACGTTTGGCGATTAGATAGCCAAGAACATTACACAGGGATGTGTTGTATTAAATAGGAGAAAAAAGGAAATAAAGTTAAGGTGGGCAGCGAGCATTCTTCTAGTCGGTTGCAGCAGCCAGCAACCTTATTAGAAACGTTGAAATTGTTGTGTTATTTCTTTGGGCTGGGGAAATAGGGTAAACCTACTGGGTCGAATGCTAACATTTGATTTCATTGTTTCACTAATGTTCGCTATAAAAACGTTTTTATCAAGACTAAAGGTCCAAACACACCAGACGCGATTCGAGAACGCTACGCGACTTTTTAGTTTTTGAAAGTTAATAAAACAGCCAATGAGAGGAAATTTTGAATGATATGTACACCAAATAACTCCAAATGTTATAGCGCTTCTAAAGATTTGGAAAATATTTGGAAAATCAGGATCAAAGTTATCGGTCAGTGAAAAGCAAAAAATTGCGTCGCGTTATCGAATCGCATCCGGTGTGTCTGGACGTACCTTAAGATGATGACCATGCAAGGAGCTAGAAAAAGAAACCCTTGACGTAACTGATGCTACTGAAGCTTTAAAAATCACTGGAGAAAATATTCAGAGGATCAGAGAATCAGATACGGAAGTAAACAATCTCGTAGATGTGTCTGTGTCATTTGCTTCCAATTTGGAAGTATAGATGCAGTTTCTGAGTACCAAAGATAGCACCGGGAGATTACCTAGACACTTTGACCAAAGACAAAACACCACTGCGGAAATGGAAATGCTGCCCGAATTTTATCGCAAAGAGTTTGCTCTGGTTCTGGATACCCTTCTTTTACAAATGCAAGAGAAATCTGAGAAGATAATTAAAGTCTGCATTTAAACCTCTCCTGGACGGTCTTTGCCCAACACAACTGCCGACTTATGAACAAATTGAAAAATTTTTCCAGATGTATCCAATTGACCTCCCACACCCACTCTTGTTGTTAGCCAAATCTGAAATGTTCATTCCATACCTTCACAAACATGCGAAACGTGACAGCATCTCAGACTCAGATATTACTTACAGATATGGTGCTGATTAATAGCACTTGATCACCCTCATCACCGGAGTCATATTGGTCTATTTCCCTTTCTAGCGAAAGCATACAGGCTTTTGCTTACCGCAGCTCCTACAGTATGCAAGGATGAGAGAAGCTTCAGTAAGCTCAAGTTTGTCAACTGAAGTCATGTTGCAGAAATTCAATGGGAAATAAGACACTTGACTCTCTTATGCTTCTGGCATGCAAGAAAGATCTGGCCGAGGATCATCTTCAAAACCTTGCGAAAGTGTCTGGAATTAAACACAGGCACATTAAATTGACATAACTGTACAGTCCTTTCTTTGGGCAAAGATATGCTTGCAAAGGTTTGATTTTAATTGTTTATAATGGTAAAAGATTTGCTGAAAGTTTATTATTAATAAATAAGTTATGACTCATGGGGGGCCCAAAATTTTTTTAAGACCCCCCCCCCCCCAAATGAATTATTGCATGGTCGGCACAGCCTTGCATGAGCGTGCTCTCACCAAGCGCATGTGAAACAACACAAAGGCATCAACACATCCAGGCATGCACAGAGTGTAATGGGGCCTAAGGGCTCAAACAACCACAAGGGAAGTAACTGTAAGCTTTGCATTATCGCTAATAGTCACCCAGTCACAACTCCACAGAGTGCTCAACAACACCAAAGTGAAGGAGGGTAATAGTACAATCTGCAGACATGCATTTTTTCGGCGTTCAACGCCTCGTCAGTGCAGCCTGGTACACGTCTAAATACATGATACATTCGCATTTGTACACATGAATGTGCTCTCACCACAGTTTCACCAAGCGCATGTGATACAACACAAAGGCATCGATCGATGCATCCAGACATGCGCAGAGTGTATAAATGGGCAATGGCCAGAGTGTTGAACTTCATACAACCACAAGGGGAGTGAGCTTTGCATTATCGCTAATATTCACCCATTAACAACTCTGCAGAGTGCTCAACAACACCGAAATGAAGGAGCATATACATACTTATTTAAGACTTGAGCTCATACACCCTTACAAAAATTTCCTATAGGAAAAATTCCTATAGGAATTCCTAATAGGAATTTAGATTTCCTATAGGAAATTTTCGTAAGGGTAAACTAATACATTAATAAAAGATTTATGGTATGATAAGGATTTTAGTCTATAGGCAACATGATATATTTGAAGCTTATTTTCCAAAGGAAAAGCTTGTGCAGTACATGACTGAATCAAACTATAAAAGTTGTTGTTGTTGATATTTTAAATTTTAATAAAAAATATATAAAGCCGCTGGCAGAAAATATAAGATTTCAGATTCTATATATACCTCAAGGTACATACCTTTTGCGATTAAAACATTGATTAAAGTTGCAAATTTGCAGAGAAATCATACATGGTCTTTATATCAATATTACAGTCGATTTCACAAAACGTTTGCCAAAACTTTCCGAATTTCGTTTCGAATTTGCGAAGTTGGGACTTGGGAAGGTCAGAAGTTCAGATTTCACAAGCCGATCTTGAAAACTAAGCATATGATTGGCTTCCTTTTTTTTAGCGACCAATCAGTGGTTTTGTTTACAAAACCGGCTGGTGAAAATATGAATTTCTGACCTTCCCAATTTCGCAACGAAATTCGCCAAATTCGAAACAAAGTTCGGAAAATTTTGGCAAAATTTTTGTGAAATCGACTGTAAGTTGTAAGAATGTTTGAAAATTACACAAATTGTCACTATTAAGCGAGTTGTTATATCACGAATACGAAATAAACATGCAACTAGACCCAGACCTCTCACGGTCTAATTCTCGTGCCATGACGTCACGTCAAAACAATTCGTCAAAACAAACCACATGTTCGTACAAATTTGTGGACAAACGTGGCACAGTTCTGCACTATTTTATATATATTTTCGGCATCTTTGGTCATATAAAGTCAATAAACAAGGTACGGGCAGTACTACCAGCTACTATAGCATGCTACAGCTATAAAAGCCGAAGGAAGCAGTCGATTATTAAACGATTTGTAGTAGCCTCGGAGCCATGTTTTTGAGGCAGCTAGAAATATCCACAAACAGAAAAGTTGTGAAATTCTCGCCTGGAAATTTTATAGGAACATTTGGCAGACAGCAAAGAAACGTCAACCTTCGACTGTTGTGGAGAAACATCAACCTTCGACTGTGTTTGTACTGTAAGCTATAATTCGTATCAATTTTCATTGCAGTATTTCGAAGACTCGAAGTATGTTACGTTCGCCATGTCATATATATGCACACTGGCTTCAAATCATTTCTATTTAGTAAGATTGTCTACCGTTAGACAATATACAGATTGGAGTAGGATGTATTATATATATATCTGTATATAATTATGTATATTATTTTAGGAAACATATGGCACAAGCGAATACAAGTGAATCAACCAATGCAGCTCATCATGATCAATTTGCTAGTCCTCATGAGTTTCATAGTCCTGAGCAGTTTGACGCTCTTAAGAAAGAATATACCAGAGTGAGTATAAACAGGGTCTTAGGTAGGATTTTAGATTTTGGGAGTGTTTCTAAATTTCCAGCATACCTGCCAATTACCCAGAATAGCCAAAGATGTAATTATACAGTCCATTTATGCTTGCCAACAATAATAGATTATGCCTGTGGTTGTTCTATGCTTTACAACCAAATTCAAGGTCAGCATGTGCTCATATTTCGCACTGATATTAAAGTCAGTTACTGTAGCAAGTCTTTGGTCATT